GGTAACAACACTACTACTATTACTAACAAACAGTAATTGTGCACTCTCTTTTGAGAAGTATTTTAATGGTAAAAAATGTAGTTTCAGATCGGTGAATTGGCAAACACCTTAATCAGCAAGATGGAGTTTCTTGGGATAAATAAGAAAGGGATCTCAAACTTTCAGCTGCTTCTGCTACAAACTGAGGTGCGTGGATATTCATTTTCTAAGCAATGTCATCCTAACTTCCATTTGCTGCTTTTCTAATGCGACTTTTAAAATATTTAACATTTAATTTTGTTTCACATGATTTTGCACTGGCACGCGGTAGTATTTAATATTTAAAATCTTCATAATAATTCATCATAAGGTGTCATTCTGGAAACTTACTGTAATTACTCTTCCATATTACTCATCTATCCTGCAGCTCTTCTGTCTGTATCTGTCTCTTGAGCCCTTTTAGTTATATTTTATGGGCTTTTGTCTAATTTTTGTCTCTGTCCCTCTTGTCTTTCTTTTTTTTTTTTGTTCTTTATTTCATTTTTTTCCCCCAGACACGGGTTGCTGATTGGAGGGAGGGCGCTCTGAATGGAGTCTATCTTCGCCGCCGGCTGCAGGAAGCTGCCGAACACATAAAATATTACGAACTTAACGCCACCCCTAAAGGCTGGTCCTGCCACTGGGACAGGTACGCGCTCCTTACCTTTCACATCTCTAAACTCCCCAGCCCCCCAAAAATCTTACCGTGTGACTACACATCCCTCAGTGCTGAGGTTGCAGACTTTGTAACATGACTTGGGGAGAAGCTTAACCAGTCCGAGTGGATCAAAATACTTACCAGAAACAGACTCTTCAGGTTTTTGTGATGCAGTCCTTTGCGTACACTGATAAGGGAGCATCCACTCTGGGCCTGCCTGCTTCGTGTTAAATACACCTGCCACAGAGAGGACTCTTAGTCCCTTAACAGACTCTTAAGCCTTTTGTTGTAAAAGGGCATTTGTAAACTGATTATGGGTCCAGTCAGTGGAAAAACTGGGAGGGGGTGTATGGTAGGAAGGTTTGGTTGCGTGGGACAGCTTTGCACTTTACAGGACTACAACCCCCTGAATGCAATGCTGAAAGAGTGATGCCCTGGAAGCGACGAGTGTCACGCATCAAATAAAAGGTGAAGATGGAGCAATGACGGGAATCCAGCAGGTCAGACCAACTCTATTTCATATGTTTTCCTGTTTTTCCATTTACTTCTTTCTGACATAAAATGAGTTGAATTTGTGCTTCTTATTTTATGCCCTATGGTTGTTGTTGCTGCTGCTGCTGCTGATGATAATAATAATGGTACTTCCTCCCCGGCGTCTTCCTGTGTCTGGGAGGGAATGGTTGTCTAAAACAAAAGAAATGTGACAACCATGGTGTGAGCTGCTGAATGCTGCTTTCAGGACCTAGAGATGATTTGTTTGTTTATTTATTCCTGAGAGCAAGGTGGGTTCCCTATCCACAACCATAACCACACTCTTAATTCGGCCTTTGTTCAGGACAGTTAAAAGCACTGTCCATACCAACATTCCTAGTCCTTAATTGTGGCCATACTGTCCACTCCCTTGCCCTTCTGTCCCAGGGTATCAAGCTACACAGCAAGTATGTAGACCAGTGGTTGAGACTTGTGCCTTCTATCTCTGTTGTCCCACTCTCTAGAGAGCACAGGCGGTATTTCTATGTGAAGGACCGGACCGGTGCCTCCCAGTGGGATTTTCCAACAGAGGATGACAAGGAGGAGGACCTGAAAGATGGCCAGGGTACTCAGACACAGACTTCAAGCCAGGTGGATACCAAAACAAGTGCATCAGGTGTCACAGGTAAATCTGTTATTACTGCTGCTGCTCTTAGACTAGGAGAAAATTACTGGGGAGTGGAAAGGAAAATAACTGCAATAAAGTCTGTTCAATACATATTTCTTTGCTGTAATTGCATAATAATGTTAATCTCCCTTTTTTTTTATTGTTTTATTTTTAAACAAAGGATCTACATGTCCTCCTACTGCCCCGCCACCGCTACCTCCTCAGCCCAATCCATCATCCTTCTGGTCCCCATCTCAACCTCCACTTCCTGACAGCCCTCCTCCACCATCCAACTACCCCCCACCTCCACCACTCCCCCCAGGCTCACCACCTCCCCCACCTCCCCCTCCTGACAGTGATGGAGAGATCATGGAGGTGGAGATGGAGATGGATGATGACAATGATGAAGAGCCTCCAGCCCCTGGAACTGAGGAAGATGGCAGTGGGAAGCCTCCTTTGCCACCAGGCTCTGCTAGCACGAAGGTGTGGAAGTAGTTATGATTCTAATTACATTAGTGTTTTCATTTTTTCAGAAGAACAGTAGCCATCAGCTTTAGCTTTATATTGTATTTGTTGTCATTTACACAGGCTGTCGAGTCATCGGGTCCCCTGGGAAAGGGTCAAAAACGTAAAGCTGGTCAGATGAATAAAACCATTACAATTGGCAGCAGTCCCATTCTGTACACCCAGCCAGCTGCCAGTGCAGGTAAAAAAAAAAAAAAAAGTTTCATTACACGTCCATCATAATGAAAACAAAAGGCAAAGCTACCCTGAATAAGGGACAGTACATGTACACAATTGGTTAATTTAATATGTTTACAAAGTAGCAATAAAGTTTCTCCTTGTCTGCAGCCCCTCTAATGTCAGCAACTGCCTACTGGGGTATGCCGGCCGTCACTGCCCCTTTGGTACCTTGTGAACCTCCAGCTCCACCTGTCCCAGTTCTGCCTCCACAACCACCACTGCCACCATCTCAGCCACCCTTTGAACCTACTGGGGCAAAAACTCTGCCCACAGACAAGAGCAAGAAAACCAAAAAGGATAAGGTTAGTATTGGAGTTAAAATCAGCTGACCAAGAAGTCTTTCATTCCGGAGTGTTCATCATGGTTTGTCTTTTGTTAGACTAATTGTTCTCAAAAAAAAATTCCTTTCCATGAAGCCATCCCTTTGATGCAATACTTAAAATGACATTCAGGAAAACATGCAGTTCACGTTTTCCATTTGACACACTTCTCTCTCTCTCTAGCCCAAGAAAAGTAAGACCAAAATGCCTTCTCTGGTGAAGAAGTGGCAGAGTATACAGAAGGAGTTGGATGAGGAAGAAAAGAGCAGTTCCAGTGATGAAGATAGAGATCTGCTCAACAAGAAAAGTATTGAAGAGTGGAAGCAACAGCAGCTCAGCACGTATGTGGTTATGCCCTTTCCTTTTACTTTAGGTTTTCATTTTTTTATTTTTTAAAATGAGCTTTACTTGTTTTTACTGCTTTCTCGCCCAGTTTTACTCTTATTTCAGTGATTATAAATGTAACTTTTTTTCAATTTTTACAGAGGAAAAGCTTCAAAGAATGCCAACTTTGAGGCACTGCCCGAGGACTGGCGGGAACGCCTGAAGAAAAGGAAGATGAACACGTAACATCAGGTCTGGGTCATACACTGTCCAGGCAATGTTTTTAAAAACCACTCCAACCACTGTCATTAGGTTATCCTTCCCCAGCTTAGGGTTTTCTCTAAACTTGAACTTTTACTTGTCCGTGATGAAGACATTTAGAAGCCCTTACATGGCAGGCCATGAATGTCCTCCTCCTGGTTTTTGTAGCCACCACTGTAAATGTGCCAAATGTCTCGAGTAAATCGGTATATCAAGTGTTTCATGGCTATTTTGTATAGCCCCTTGTAGATGATCACCCATTTGTTTTGGAGGATTTTATTTTGAGCATTTTTACAATGTTGTATATAAAATGTATAATGGGATAAGCCATGTTTGTGGAGGGGAGGGGGGGGGGACTTCGTTGAACTTGTATATTTTGTAAAAAATTATTAAAATGTTTCTAAAGTGATCTTTTTTTTTTCTTTTGCATTTTTGTTCTGTTTTGTTTTCCCTCCCACCATCTCAATCACAATACTACAATGACTAGGGCATACAACTATACAAACGGCACAAGAGTGCATTTGGATCAGTCTTTTTTTTTTTTTTTTCTTTTTTTTTTTAGGGTTTTATGACAAAGTCGATACTACATTCATTGTTCTGTGTGTTAGTTATGGGCAGGAGGAGGCGTACAGAGCTCTGCATCTGAATCCAAGTCTAGAAGTACAAGAACTTGGGTGTCCTTAAGGATAACAGGCTGAACTGGAAGAGCAAAACGGGAATTATTGGGAGATGAGCAGGCTCTTTCCTAAGTAAGCTGTAAATCCTTCAGTATGTGCAGATGGAGACATTCTGTCACTCACCAGTGGTGAGTGCAGTTTGTACTGTGGTCTGCTGGGGGAACAGGATCAGAGCTGATGATACCCACAGACTGATTAACCCTCTGAGTCTGATCAAAATCACTACCCTTTCAGCTTGTTCGTGGCCACCTAGAGATTAGGTCTGTAATTTTTAGTGCAGAGAGAGCAAAAACATAAAGACTCCCTCTCAAACTGTCCGTGGCCAAAAATGGCCACCCCTTGTTTACATTTACAAAATGCTATAGAATTCATATATATTAAGAAAAATGTCCAGATTTTTTAACATGATTTTTTAGATTAGCATCAGGGCTGTTCATGAAAATCAAAATTTCATTAAAATTCTGAAATTTAACCCTTTAAATATCAGTTAGAGCACATAATCATAACTCATAAATTGAGAAAATCATAAAATCCCAGTTTTTTTCTAAATAATACATGCCATCTGATTTATTTGCTAACCATGATGAAGGTTAGATGCATAGCAATAATTAACAGCATCAATGACATTTATGCAACATTTGTTTTTCTGCAGTGGCAGAAAAACAAAAAAACTCCCTCTCAGACCGTCCGTGGCCAAAAATGGCCACCCCTTGTTTACATTTACAGAATACTATAAAATGATTATATATTAAAACATTTTTCTACTTAGACCAACTTCATTTTTTAAATGAAAACCAGTCCTAGTCATGAAAACCATTTTTATTCCTGTGAGTAATGACCCCAATAAAAGAAACTCCCACTTTGTTAGTCATGCCAAAAACGGCCTTTTATTGCTTGTTTGTACAAAATACATCCTCTTTCTGTGTGTGTGTGTGTGTGTACACGTGTACTCAGGGAAGGCAGGACACGCAAACCACAGCAGAGTGATCTTTGCAGACACTCTTTTCACAGCTGGAGCAAGTGGTTGCCGTTCTTCTTCTGTTTATACACAGTTCGCACCTTTTCCTCGTTTTGTTGATGGGCTTTGGGTCAGACTCTGATTCTGATTCTGACTGCTGTATCTCAGCAACAATAGCAGCGGCTGCTTGTGAGCGTGGGGCACAAGGCCGTCTTGCAATTTCTGGAGTCACCAGCATGTAGCCCAGCTCCTCCAGGAACACCCTTCGTTTGTGGGTCTTGGTGGACTCCCACTCAGGATTCACTGCTTTCCACAGGACAAAGCCATTGTATGCTGAGATGTCCAGAAGATTGTAGAACAGAGCCAGTGGCCAGCGACTGGTTTTCCTCCGACAACTGTAGGTGCCGACAACCTTGTCTAGGTTATCCACTCCACCTTTACACTTGTTGTAATCAAGGATTGCTGCTGGCTTCTTCTTTTCCCCATCGCTGACTGCTGGTTCCCTATGCTTTGTGCTCAAAAGAAGCACATTCTTCCCTTGCTTGGGCATGTAGGAGACTGCCATGGTTGTTTTGGTGAAGGCAAAGAGAGATGAAAGAATCTTCCTCTGTCTCAGCTGAACAAGCTGGGGAGGGAGCTCTGGTTTGTTTCCCCTGATTGTGCCAACCAGAGCTACTTTTCTTCTGAGCAGCTCCTCTGCCAAGCTGAACGATGTAAAGAAGTTGTCACAAGTGACAGTGTGTCCTTTGAGCCCCTCTGTCAGTTGTAGCACAACTCTCATTCCCTGATTAACTTCCCGGGAACTTCCAGATTTTCCTGTGTAAATTTCCATCTTCCAAGCATAGGAGGTTGCCACATCACAGATCACCCAGATTTTAATGCCATATTTTGCAGGCTTCTTGGGCATATACTGCCGAAATCCACATCGACCTTTGAATCCAACCATCTGCTCATCGACACAGACGTCAACTCCTGGATTGAACAGCAGGGGGAGACGAGCAACCCACTTTTCCCACAGGACGCGAAATGCAGCAAGCTTATCGTTCCTGAAACATCTCGGGCGGGCGAGCTTGTCATCAAAGCGGATGTTAGCGCTGATCTGGGCGTAGCGGTAGTGGGGCATTGTAGCACGGAATATTGCCCGTCCGGTCTTGTCAGCCCACAAACCACGCGATGCTTCATGCCTTGAGCGGTAGACACCAGCGAGAATCAAAATCCCAATGTACGCTTTCATCTCCACATCATCCACATCCCTCCAATTCTCACACTTTCGCCTCCCATGCAGGTTTGTGTAGGTGCACAACAGCTGAATGATCTCTTCTGTCACAAACAGGTCAAATGCAGATCTCAGGGTGCTAATGCGGGTAACTGCATACAGGGTGGGCCCTGGAGTGATACCAGTGGGTACTGGATTGTAGCGCATGGTCTCCTCAGCAGTGGGAAACCACTCAATATTCCCAGAACGAGACATCCACTCGGCCCCCGGCGCCCCGGCGTCTACCGCTTCTCCTACCGTCTCTTCCATTAGCCGCTCTACCTCGACTGCTGTCTTTGTATCATTCTCACTTGCTGAAGAAGAGGAATCGGGCACTGGATGGTAATCCTCATCACTGGTAGTGATGCTGTCATTCTCTGAGGAGACTGATGCAGCGGATTCCTCGTCATCTTCGCTCTCTGAGCGCCTCACATAGTTAGGTGCTTGAAGCAGTGAATATGACCGTCTTGCCATCTTGCCAGAGCAAAAATGATCTTGAAGCTGCTGGGTTTATTTATAGCTTTGACTATGACTTATGACTGCACCTGTATAAACCCCAGGACAGAATTACAAACAGTCCCAGTTTGTTGTTGTTTATGCTACAGCTACAGCTTTGAATTTTGCAGAGTGTCCTGTGAGTTCTTTCTCTGTGTTGCGGGAATTACTGTCTTGCGTGTGACTGGGTGCAGTAAGGAGTGTATGTGATGTGTGTGAGCATTGACTGTAGAAAACATGGACGACGCGACAGCTCCCCAAAAATGAAGCCAAAACGTCCCTATCGCCCCCTGCAGTATAAGTCATAAACCCGCCTCCTCCATGTTAGCGGATGGGAGTGGGGTCAGACTAAAATAAATTAATTCTCCTTAGATATTTTTTTCCAAAGATTATTTCTTTTCTTTTCAATAGTTCTCATCACGCTGTTTGATGTCCAAGGGGTCTCCTTTCCCATAAGTTTGATTCTAATTCCTACCACGGTGACGTTAAATTGGGCTGAAACGTACGGTGGCCCTGAGAGGCCAAACGGACTGCAACTTCAGAAAACACTTGCAAAAAGAAAAAAGCTGCAAAAAGGAAAACGCTGCACTGCAACTTCAAGAAAAACGCTGCACTGCAAAAAGAAAAATGCTGCAAAAAGAAAGACGCTGCACTGCAAAAAGAAAAACGCTACAAAGAGAAAAGCGCTGCAAAAGCACAACGGAAATAGGAAAAAAGACAACGGAAAGCTTCATTTCTAAGGCTACATTAAACATTATCTTTGTTAGAATTACCTTTGAATGTATATTCCAGATATCTGTAGCATTATTAGAATCATGAGATTACAACACTAGTGATGTGACGTTCTGTATCGAGGCTTCAAAGCTTGTGCCGAGTAATGGAGGGGGCGTTTCCGCGAGGCTTGCTTCATTTATGGGAGGAGCTGAAAATGATGACGTCCGAAGCCTCGCTGCCCGGCTGTACCACGTGACTGGTTCATGAAGTGGTTCGAACTTTGCCACGAGATATGACAGCGATATAAAGCCCTCAGACTTCATTCAAAATGTAGGTGTTTGATGGAGAGTTGTTAGTGAGAGTTTGGAGACAGTTTGGAGGTTTATGAGAGTGAGGAGAGAAAGTCAGGAGAGAATGGAGCCAGCTAAGAAGAGGAGGATGTCCTCCCCTGTGTGGGAATATTTTGATTTTATTCCTCCCAACAAGGTATGTAAATTTCTACAGAAGATGTATTTTC